TCCACTCCATGCCCAAGAGAAATGAAAACATATCGCCACAAAAGGACTTGCACAAGAGCAACAGTTTTATTTATACTAGTCTCAAAGTGGAATAAACTCCAATGACCATGAACAAGAAAAATGAATAAGCAGATTGTGGTAGATTCACACAATGGAATACCACTCAACAATAAAAATGAACTACTGTGCAACACATCAACATGAATGATAAGCAAAAGAAGGCAGACACAAAAGCATATATCTGTTTTATCCCATTTATACAAAATCCAGTAGCAGGCAGTATTAACATATGATGGAAGAAATGACAGCAATGGTTGCCCCTGAGAGGCTGCCTGGCTGCATGTGGTCAGCATGTGGATTGACAGGTAAGGCATACACTGTTCTGTTCATTTCTCAAAGAACACATCAGTTTTTGGCTCTGTATCTCCCTTCAAATCTCCATTGTTTCTTTTTTAAAAATATATATATTTTATTGCATTTTAGGTTTTGAGGTACATGTGAAGAACATGCAGGATTTTTGCATAGGTACATACATAGTAATGTGGTTTTCTGCCTTCCTCCCCATCACCTATATTTGGCATTTCTCCCCAGATTATCTCTCCCCAACTTCACACCACTCGCTGACCCTCCCCCAGTTCCCCTCCAACAGACCTCAGTGTGTGATGCTCCCCTCTCTGTGTCCATGTGTTCTCATTGTTCAACACCCGCCTATGAGTGAGAACATGCGGTGTTTGTTTTTCTGTTCTTGTGTCAGTTTGCTGAGAATGATGGTTTCCAGGTTCATCCATGTCCCTACAAATGACACAAAATAATTTTTTATGGCTGCATAGTATTCCATGGTGTATATGTGTCACATTTTCCCTGTCCAGTCTATCGTCAATGGGCCTTTGTGTTGGTTCCAAGTCTTTGCTATTGTAAACAGTGCTGCAATGAACATTCATGTTCATGTGTCCTTATAATAGATCGATTTATAAGCCTTTGGATATATACACAGAAATGAGATTGCTGGGTCAAATGGAATTTCTATTTCTAGGTCCTTGAGGAATCTCCACACTGTCTTACACAATGGTTGAACTAATTTACACTCCCACCAACAGTGTAAAAGTGTTCCTATTTCTGCACATCCTCTCCAGCATCTGTTCTCTCCAGATTTTTTAATGATTGCCATTCTAAGTGGCGTGAGATGGTATCTCAATGTAATTTTGATTGGCATTTCTCTAATGACCAGTGATGATGAGCATTTTTTCGTATGTTTGTTGATCTCATATATGCCTTCTTTTAAAGTTTCTGTTCATATCATTTTCCCACTTTTGAATGGGTTTGTTTGTTTTTTTCTTGCAAGTCTGTTTTAGTTCTTTGTAGATTCTGGATATTAGCCCTTTGTCAGATGGGTGGATTGCAAAAATTTTTTCCCATTCTGTTGGTTGCCAATTCACTCTAATCATTGTTTCTATTGCTGTGCAAAAGCTCTGGAGTTTAATTAGATCTCATTTGTCTATTTTGGCTTTTGTTGCCAATGCTGTTGGTGTTTTAGTCATGAAGTCCTTGCCTATGCCTATGTCCTGAATGGTTTTGCCTAGGTTTTCTTCTAGGGTTTTTATGGTGTTAGGTCTTATGTTTAAGTCTTTAATCCATCTGGAGTTAATTTTAGTGTAAGGTGTCAGGAAGGGGTCCAGTTTCTGCTTTCTGCACATGGCTAGCCAGTTTTCCCAACACCATTTATTAAACAGGGAATCCTTTCCCCATTGCTTGTTTTTGTCTGGTTTGTCAAAGATCAGATGGTTGTAGACATGTGGCCTTGCCTCCAAGGCCTCTGTTCTGTTCCATTGGTCTATATCTCTGTTTTGGTACTAGTACCATGCTGTTTTGATTATTGTAGCCTTGTAGTATAGTTTGAAGTCAGGTGGCATGATGCCTCTAGCTTTGTTCTTTTTGCTTAGAATTGACTTGGCTATGCAGGCTCTCTTTTGGTTCCATATGAAGTTTATGGTGTTTTTTTCCAGTTCTGTGAAGAAGGTCATAGGTAGTTTGATGGGGATAGCATTGAATCTATAAATTACTTTGGGCAGTATGGCCATTTTCATGAAATTGATTCTTCCTAACGATGAGCATGGAATGTTTCTCCGTCTGTTTGTGTTCTCTCTTATTTCCTTGAGCAGTGGTTTGTAGTTCTCCTTGAGGTCCTTTACATCCTTTGTCCGTTGTATTCCTAGGTATTTTATTCTCTTTGTAGCAATTGTGAATGGCAGTTTGTTATTGATTTGGCTCTCTTTAAGTCTGTTACTGGTGTATAGGAATGCTTGCAATTTTTGCACATTGATTTTGTATCCTGAGACTTTGCTGAAGTTGCTTATCAGTTTCAGGAGATTTTGGACTGAGACAATGGGGTCTTCTAAATATATAATCTTGTCATCTGCAAATAGAGAAAATTTGGCTCCCTCCTTTCCTAATTGAATACCCTTTGTTTCTTTTTCTTGCTTAATTGTTCTGTCTAGAACTTCCAATACTATATGGAATAGGAGTGGTGAGAGAGGGCATCCCTGTCTAGTGCCAGATTTCAAAGGGAATGCTTCCAGTTTTTGCCCATTCAGTATGATATTGACTGTGGGTTTGTCATAAATAGCTTTTATTATTTTGAGATACGTTCCATCAATACCTAGTTTACTGAGAGTTTTTAGCATAAAGCGCTGTTGAATTTTGTCAAAGGCCTTCTCTGCATCTATTGAGATAATCATGTGGTTTTTGTCTTTCATTCTGTTTATGTGGTGAGTTACATTTATAGGCTTGCAAATGTTGAACCAGCCTTGCATCCCTGGGATGAAGCCTACTTGATCGTAATGGATAAGCTTTTTGATGTGCTGTTGCCATCAGTTTGCCAATATTTTATTGAAGATTCTTGCATCTATGTTCATCATGGATATTGGCCTGAAGTCTTCTTTTCTTGTTGAGTCTCTGCTGGGTTATGGTATCAGGATGGTGTCAGTCTCATGGAATGATTTGGGGAGAATTCCTTCTTTTTGGATTCTTTGGAATAGTTTCAGAAGGAGTGGTACCAGCTCCTCTTTGTATGTCTGGTAAAATTCGGCTGTGGACCCATCTGGACCTGGGTTTTTTTTGGTTTGTAGGCTATTAATTTCTTCCTCAACTTTAGCCCTTGTTATTGGTCTATTCAGGGTTTTGACTTCTTCCTGGTTTAGGCTTGGGAGGATGCAAGTGTCCAGGAATTTATCCACTTCTTCCAGGTTTACTGGTTTATGTGCATAGAGTTGTTTGTTGTAATCTCTGCTGGTGGTTTGTATTTCTGTGGAATCTGTGGTGATATCCCCTTTATCATTTTTTATTGCATCTATTTAATTATTCTCTCTTTTTTATTAATCTGGCTAGTGGTCTATTTTGTTGATCTTTTTAAAAAACCAGCTCCTGGATTTATTGATTTTTGAAGGGTTTTTTGAGTCTCTATCTCCTTCAGTTCTGCTCTGATCTTAGTTATTTCTTGTCTTCTGCTAGCTTTTGAGTTTTTTTTTTTTTTTTTTTTTTTTTTTTTTTTTTTTTTTTTTTTTTTTTTTTTTTTTTTGATCTTGCTCCTCTAGCTCTTTCAATTTTGATGATAGGGTGTTGATTTTAGATCTTTCCTTGCTTCTCATGTGGGCATTTATTGCTATATATTTTCCTCTAGACACTGCTTTAAATGTGTCCCAGAGATTCTGGTATGTTGTGTCTTCGCTCTCGTTGGTTTCGAAGAACATCTTTATATCTGCCTTCATTTCATTGTTTATCCAGTCAGCATTCAAGAGCCAGTTGTTCAGTTCCCATGAAGTTGTGTGGTTCTGAGTTAGTTTCTGAATTCTGAGTTCTAACTTGATTGCACTGTGGGCTGAGAAACCGTTTCTTACAAATTCTGTAGGGCACCATGATTGCTTTCCTAACCTCTGGGAGCATCCATCCTTTACCTACTATTGCAACTAGCACTTTTCTGACCACTTTTCACCTTCAGGATTTTATCTGAAATCTCTTATCCTCTCATTGTTTCCTGCCATTTTCTTTGTCATTGTGAATCTAATTCCTTTGTTTTCATTTTAGTGATCTTTAACTTTTCTTTCAGAAATTCAAAACAATAATGTACCATTATTGTTTTCTACCTCATGTTAGATACTGGAAAGTGCTAATAATTCTCTTCTGGTTGGGAAGGAAAGGCTCATAAGTTTTCATAACACTAAGGAATACTGAGATGTTGATTAAAACATTATCAGAGCAATAAAGTGATCAGCTAAGAACCAGACTTAGGGACTCAACTTTAAAACTACATTCACAGGAAACAGCAGCAATTCCTGAAATTCAGATGCCTAAAACGATTCACCATATATAACAATAATTTGGACAGATTTATATTAACAGAAAGTAGAATCAGACATTCTATGAGATATCATTGATATTCTCATGAAATTCTCAATAATGTGGTATAATTATTATTATTATTATTAAACTGCATTGTATTATTTATGAATTAATTTTATGATATGGGATGATATTTCTTTCTTAACAACCACAGATTAGAGAGAGACATCTTATTTTTATCTTTCTCAGATTTGTGTTCTCTTAGTTGCTAATTAAGATGCATTTTCAAGGTTAGATTTTATTTTTATTTCATTTTTTTCATTTCTCTGTGGATGACCTGTTTACACCATCTAGATTCTGTAGGAGTTTAATTTTTATTTAAAAAAAGATTCCATATACAGTTAGGTGAAGTTGTCTTTACAATAGCTTTGTTCAGTTTAGACTGAACATTTTCAATCCTCTATATTAGTCTTTCACAACCTCCATTTCCTTTATTACATCTTTTTTGTTGCTTCAATTCCATTTATTACGGCCTCTACTGAGAACCACCTATTTTATATATGTTGGTTCTTTATAGCATGTCCTTTATATGTAAAGTCTTACAGTCTCCACAAACATCTCAGAATCTTGATGACCATTTTCACATGGTGCCCTTTTTTCCCTAGGGTGTTAACAGAAGACGAGGATGTAGATGAGAGGCTTCTCTGTGACACTCTATTCAAGCACTTCAAAAGATATAAGGTGGAGATTTCAAATGCAATAAAAAAGACATTTCCATTCCTTGAGGGCCTCCATGACCGTGAACTCATCACAGATAAAATGTTTGAAGTAAGTAAAGTTTATTATGTCACAAACTGGTAAACCAGCCCCAAAGTAAGTTATGCTTTGATATCCTAGACCCAAACTTCAGGCTACAACTTGCTAACTGACAGGTCTTCTACGAGTGAGGAACTTTTTCAAGGATTTCTGTAAGTGCTCCTTTAAAGTAGAAAAGGAGAGGAGAAGCATAGGTCACTGATGGTCCTGCTTCCAGCTGAGGAAATGGTGTTTCGTGGTGCCCTCTGAAGTTGGGGTGAATGGACCTGGTGAAACTGGAACAGAAACAGGTGTTCTCCGTTAATGTACAATGTTTTGTAGAATTCATGCACTGTAACATAAACTAAAACTTAAAATAATTTTAACTAAGTGTTTTACTTGAAATAGTAATTAACACAGCATTTTCTTTCAATTAACATCAATTTAAAATACCTAGATCAGAGAACATTAAAACCCATAGGAAATTGGTGTCTAGAGAGGACAAATTGGTGAGAAGATGCTTGTTATACTTTCTCCAACACATTTTTTTCTTTTTTTTCCTTTTTTGTACACTTTTGTAGTCTTGGAATATGGGTAAATTCCATCCATAGGCCCTGTTGGAGATACAGAGCAGTGAGTGTTCTTTGGCTATGAATATACTTCCTCTGTGGCCAAGTTCACAGCAAGGGGAGACTAGTACCTGGTTTCCTTGAGCCCTTCAGGCCAGATAAGTCTTGGGGGAAGAGCAGGGGTTGTCCAGTCAACAAAACAGCCACTCATCAATTGCCTGCTATGCCTATCCCAAAAACATATGGATCAAGCTATTAAAAGACTTTGAGCCCACTTTTATCCTTCAAAGTTGCTCCTTTTTACATCCAATGTAAATGAGAGTAAAGCGATCAGGCTCATCAGTGGGTATTTTTATGGAGAAGGAATTTACTTCCTTCATTACTGACCATACAAATAGGTAAAAAATATAAAACTTTACTTGAAAATACCTCTGTAGAGGAGTTAGAATACAGTAACCATAGAATTCCTTTCTAAAGCTCTTCTGTAACTTGGAAGTCTGTATTTATGTTTTCTCCATTCAATATTTTTTAAGGATTCTCAAGATTCTTGTAGAAACCTGGTCCCTGTACAAAGAGTGGTGTACAATGTCCTCAGTGAACTGGAGAAGACATTTAACCTGTCAGTTCTGGATGCGCTATTCAGTGACGTCAACTTGCAGGAATACCCTGATTTAATTCACATTTATAAAAGCTTCGAAAATGGTAATTAGGTTTATTATCTACCTTTTGATTTCCAGTGCCAATTTTTTTCAATAATCATATACTGAGCTCCTAACATGTGTAACATATTGTGTGGGGCAGTGGGGATACAGTCGTTAACAAAATATACATGTCATGAGTCCTCTCGAAGCTCATGGCATATGGCTGTGGTAAAACAAATACCTGGAGGTCTGCTTAACTGGCCATTTAGGCTCACAAGACAGCCAGAGCTACACTGGCATCAGGTTTACTTAGAAGAGCGTAAAGTAAGAAACAGAATCCCAACAGGGCAGCTTTTTCTCTTCAGTGAGATTCCTTGCAGTGATCTACATATCAGTCTACCAAATTGACTACTACCTTCCCTGAGTGACAACTTAGCTGTGGGTGCAGGATCCACCTTGGCTCAGCACCACATGCCTTTGGGAGTATATGTCTCTTATAACAATTAGATGGTCACAGCTTTCAGAGCCCCATAAGGGGCAAGCTGAGCTACAAGAGTTATCAATTGAAGGAAGACCACACTATGGCTTCCCCACAGGTATTTTTTGTTCCTATATAGTCCCAGTCAACCAATCATGGGTCATTTCTAACCGCAGCCTTCACCTAGTAACATTGCAAAAAGCCTATCTTTATTAGGTTTCCAGAATATGAGCAAGAAAGTTAACCGTGGGGCAAGTTTGCCTTCAGTGAAGGAGAAGTGGTCTTGCTAATCCTTTATCCACACAGAGTGAAACAATGATTAATTAATAATGACAAAACTGATTACTCTGCTAGAGACTATTTTTGTTGCCATACCAAACTAAAGGTTTCATTCTTGACCTTTTTCCTGAGAATGCATAATTTATACTATTATAATGGTACACAGTAAAGATGTCCTCCAGTTGTTGGGGTTTTTTTTAATTTGCCTAGAAAACTTTTTATTTCCACACAGTGTGATCTCAACCCAGTTCTCCAAATAGGAGATAGGGATATCACAAGAAAACTGGGCACATGCCCTGAAGAGGGTGGATGCTATGGGAACTGGAATAAAAGCATGAAAGTGTGTCTAAAAAACAGAACAAATTAGATTTGGCTAAATCTGAGACTGAGAAGCAGTATAGAAGCTGACTTAAATCAATTGGAGGAAGATATTGAGTGGTCTGAAATCTAAAGCTAAGGACTTCGAGATTTACTTACTAGGCAATCAAGAGATACTACAGGTGTATAAACAAGGAAAGAAGTATAAGCAGTTGTATATGGCTTATTGATTTGTGTCAATACTAACCTTATCTAAATTAAGAATAAAGTAATTTCTAGAGCAAATCATTCAAGTCAGAAGAAGTAAAGGAAATCAAATACCTAGGCACAAATTTTGAGTCAGTGTTATGTTTGTAGCCAGGATGGTCCAGGCTGTGGGGATGAGGGAATGTTGCTACCTTTACTGCCCACATTCTGAGGGGCTCTGTTCCTCTCCATGGACTGCAGGGATCCGCCTTCCTAGCCCCAGCGCCCACAACTCACGTGTTAGTTCCTGGCACTCCTTATGCTTGGGTGACCTGCACTGAGGCTCACTGTCGCCCACCTGGGGCAGCACTGCCCACTGCCCCACCCAGTGCAGCAGCCCACTCACCCTCAGGGAGATGCTGCTGACTCTCAGACCATGAAGTCCACACAAACTGCCCCTGTGTCCTCTGTTATGTTTATTTGGGAACTGTCCATCCTCCCTGACCCGATTCAGCCAAAATTCTCCTGTTTTCTAGCCGCATCTTTAAAGCTGTTGGGGTTTTCTCATTTATTTTTTATTTATTTATGCTTTTTGAGACAGGGTTTCGATCTGTTGCCAAGGCTGGAGTGCAGTGGCATAATCTCAGCTCACTGCAGCCCCAGCCTCCTAGGCTCAAGTGACCCTCCCACCTCAGCCCCTTGAGTAGCTGGCACCATAGTTGTGCACCACCACATCCAGCTAATTTTTTCTTTTCATAGATGAGGTTTAGCTGTGTGTCCTAGGCTGGTCTCAAAATCCTGGGCTCAAGGACTGCTCCTGTCTCAGCCTCCCAAAGTGCTGTGATTACAGGTGTGAACCACTGCACCTGGCTGATTTTCTCTTTTATAATGGAATCTCTCTAGGACTTGAGACCTTCTCCCCAGGGAATCCCTCAGTGTCTTCCTTATGCTTGATATATGCCTACCCTGCCATCTGACAATTTTGGGGGTAATACAACTCACAATGTTTTCATTACTCCTTAGCCTTAAATCTTGAGTGTCTTCTTGCTATGTAGGACAATAATGGTTTCATTGTTAGGGTCTTCTCTTTTCTGTCCCAGGGGGATGATGGGAGAAGTTTAAGTCAAGTGGAACCCTCTGAGCTCTGAGCCACCCAAAGACTGGAAATTCATAAAAGCATGATTTCCAGCCGTTGTTCCTGTACCCTGTAAATCTCTAATTGCTTCTTCTCTGTTCCGCTCTTCAGTGATCCAAGACAAGTTGCGTTTACAAGAAAGTGAGGGAGAAGAGAGGGAGGAGAGGCCTGACATGCAACTTAGTCTTGAACAAGGTAAAAATGACAGAGTAAAAACTGTTTCTAAGAGAGGTTAGGGATCCAAGGCTCTGAGTGGAGACTGTGAATCAGGGAAGACACGTGGAAGGACTATGGAGAAGTCAAGGAGGGAGTTACATGAGCTCCTAACCAGATGCAGGGTCCTGGAGAGGTGGCCACAACAAGACATCATTGATTCAATAACCATGAAGGAATCAGAGCCAAGTGTGTCAGTAGGCCAGACTTACAGACACCAACTACCTAGAAGTAATTGTGATTTAGAAAAATTCCCGTAGGGGATCAGCATGAAGTTGTAAAGGGTTAAGAACCACATCCCATGGCCCATGGTCAACATCAAAGAGGAGACTCTCAGGGAAAGAAATGCTCCTGTTTTATCTGTACCGTCCTATTCACAGCACTTCTGACACCAAACATGTCGGTGCTCACCCCACACCAATCAGTTCTCCAATTCTCTGCAGACGCCACCTGATGTCTTATAATTTAATTGAGTTCTGGCACTAATTACCCAGACTTGACACAGACTCCACAGGTTAAGGGCTCATTCCCATAAGGATGCCCCCTACTTCAGATGCCAGTTGCAAGTCTCGGGTTGTGACCTGTGCTTCTGACCAACTGCCTGCAAAGTGGAGGTTCCCAGAAGCCCTTTGTTGGCTTTGATACTTTCCTAGTAGATTTCATGGAAATGTTGACTTATATTTGACAATTTATTATAAAGGACACAACTCAAGAGCAGCCAGTGGAAGAGATGCATAGGGCAAAGCATGGGGAAGAGCACAGAGCTTCCGCCCTCTCTGGGACACCACCCTCCCGGCACTTCCATGTGTTTGCCGACCCAGAGGATTTCTGAACCCAGTCATTTACAGTTTTTTATGGACGTTCCATTACACGGTCTGGATTGATCAAATCATTGGCAATTGATGATTAAGTTAACCTCCATCCCTCTTTTCCCCTCCCTGGATGTCAAGAGGTGGGGCTGAAAGTTCCAACCCTCCAATCTCATGTTCAGTTCCCCTGGCAACCACCCCCATCAAGGGCTTTCCAAAAGTTACCGCATTAACATAAACTCAGGGTTGGTTGAAAGGGGCTTGTTATGATTAACAGAAAATGCTCTTTTCACCATTATCACTTCAAATGTTTCAGTGGTTTTAGGAGCTCTGGCCAGGAGCAGGGAATGAAGACTGAAATGTATATTTCTTATCATATCACAGGAGATACTTGATGATGGCAAAAGAGGGGACCAATTTAAATGTGAGGATGTTGTTCAAGAGCAGGAATAGTCAGAGAGAAAGACAGTCATGTAGAGAGACTCAGAGAAGAAGCGGTGCAGATGTGGAGAGGATGTAGGTACTTACAGGATGAAGGAAGGGAAATGAAACAGCGAAAATGAGTAAAAGACAGCAAAAATAACCATGTCATTAACAGCTCACTTTGAACATCTACTTTGTGAGAGCTGGTTTAATGCTTATGACAGCCATTGGAGATTAGTATTACTTACATTCTCATTTTGCAGCTAAGATAAGGTAACTGAAATCCAGAGATACCACAAGTAGAGTTTACCTAGGGTCAGATGAACAAGGAAAAACCAAGGTGTACTACCCCAGAGCCTGCATTCCTACCTCTGTGCTATCCAGGGAATCTAAAAAAATAAAAACAGAAAAATGAAAAAAAAATGGAAAAATATTTGCAGACAAAAAGATCCAGAAAAAAGAATACTAAAAGCTGGAGGAAGTAGAGGCTGCTCGGACACTGAGTCCTCATGGAAAAGCCAATGAGAAAGAGTGAACAGGTGTGGAGATGGAGGGTGTGTTGTAAAAGGGGGTGGGCACAAGGCAACCAGGACTTCGAAGAAACTGAGCTAAGGGCCCTGGGCAGGGTAGCTCTGGGGACAAAGGCAGGTTCACTTTGCCATTGCCAGTTACCAGAGTGTATCACAGAGGACATTCAATGGGATCTTCTGGTCAAGGCCCCTGTCAGCCAGGGGTGCAGCTGACCCAGCACCCTACTGTCGAGGCTGGAGTCTGACTTCAGTAATTAGGTGGCATCTGCCAGCTCCAGATGGGCTCTGCATTGTGACTAAGGAGGGGTCTTTAACTTCTACATTACAGAGACCACAAAGAGATTAGGGGAGAAATGGCAAGATCCATACCTCAATTTCTGAAATAAACTAATTTCTTTCTGCCAGGAACTGGTGAAAACCCTTTTCGAAGCCTGACCTGGACACGTTCGGGTTCCCCGTCTTACGATGGTTTGTTCCTGTTTACTACTCTTTGAGCCTTTGCTATTCTTGCCCCATTCTGGAATGTGCTGTGGGATTGCCCCTTTGTGTTAATGATTGACCAGATTTTCGGTTTTTGCATCGACAGTTTTTCCATTTCTGGGATTTAAATAACAATCCTTATCCTCTAGGTTCCCTAGGAGGGTTTCTTCCTCCCACACCTCTTAAGCACACTTGCTGCTGGTTCCTGCTGCCCTGAGCCTGATCGTTTTACCCATGTGCCTGCTTCACCATTTTCTGCCTGCATCACCATTTTCTGCCTGCATCTGCTTGAATCTGACTGTTGCCTTGGTGCCTTGATCTTACATCCAGCAGTGGCCCATGCTGTGGTGGTTGGAGGGGAGTGACGGGCAGCAGGGGACAAATAAAATACCTGTAAATCAAAACATGGTTTAGGTACAACCCCACCTGAAAACGGACTCTCAGAGCACCCCTGTGAAACAGAACAGATATATGCAAAGAGAAAAGATACAACCAGTGACAAAAATGATGCACTAGGAAGCCAACAAACAAATAAACAATATGCCCAAAAGGCTGAGCCAGCAGGTAAGACCGACTGGGTTTGCATGCATGGGGAGGAGCCAAGGGGCCCTGGCTGGCAGCAGAGGAAGAGTCTAATGCACAATGTAAAGAGACACCTGTTTAACAAGCAGGGGAAAATCACACAGACACAGAGAGAGCCTGGTATACTGATGAGCCTGATACACTGGCACACTGATGACAAAGACCTGAAGGAAGAAAGCTACAAGAGAAAAACTAAAGAGAAAGGGGAAAAGTTGCATAGCCTCACTAAAGAAAAGAGACAGAAACAGAAGGCAAAAGAAAAGAGAGATTGGCCAGGAATCAGTGAAGTGCAAACACCTTCATGCAGCAATATATGCAGACGGGGGCATAGGTAGAAACATAAAAAGAAAGGAGAAGCAGGGTGAAGTCTAACAAAATGGAAATAGGACAGAGCAAGGCCCCAATGGATCTCAACTGTGATCTCATTTATCTCCAGAGTCCTGCAAACAAGCCGCTGTCCAAGTGAATAATGGAGATGCTGGAAGGGAGACGCCCAGCCCATTGCCCTGTGATGAAGAAAGTAATTATTGCTTACCTTGCCTATTTCTTTTCCTTTCTTATTCCGATGCTATACATTTGTTTGTTTGGTTGGTTGATTGCTGTTTTTCCATTGTAACCACTTTTTAAAATTACCAAATTAAAAACTGGATGTATTTATTATGTACATGTTGTTTTGAAATATGTTACACGTATGTGAAAAGGCTAAATAGAGCTAATTAGCATAACTGTGACTTCACATATTTATCATTTTTGTGGTGATAACACAGAATCTATTCTCTCAGTAATTTTTAAGAATACATTATTAACTATATTAATCATGTTGTATAATAGCTCTCTTAATATATTTCTCCTATTTAACCGAAACTTTGTATCCTTTGACCAACATCTCCCCAATCCTTTTCCCCACAGCCCCAGCCTCTGTTACCACAATATACTCTCAACTTCTGTAAACTCAACATTTTTACACCCTACATATAAGTGAGATGTAATATTTGTCTTTCCATGCCTGTGTCATTTTACATAACGTAATATTCTCCAGGTTCGTGGTTGTGGTTGCAAATGACAGGATTTCTCTCTTTTCAAAGGCTAGATAATATGTTCAATGTGTAGCTGTATTTCACTGTGTATATATTTTTCTTACCCATTCATCCACTGGACACTTAGGTTGTTTCTGTATCTTGACTATTGCGAATACTGCTGGCAGATATCTCTTCCGTATACCAAATAGTCCCTGATTTATTATGGTTAGACTTATGATTTTCAATGGGTTTATTGAAGTATTAAATGCGTTTTTGGCTTATGATATGTTCAATTTATGGTAGGTTTATGGAGATGTAGTCCCAGCATAACTCTGGGAGCATCTACTGATTTCATATCTTTCGAATATATGTTCAGTAGTGGAATTTGTGGATCATATGGGTAGTTCTATGTTTAGTGTTTTTTTGAGGACATTGCATACTGTTTTTCTTAGTGATTAAAGCAATTTATATTCCCCCCAACAGTGTACAAAGTTTCCTTTTTCTGCACATCCTCACCAACATTTGTTATCTTTTGTCTTTTTGATAATAGCCATTCTAACCAGTATGTGGTGATATTCATTCTGGTTTTAATTTGCATTTTCTTAATCATTTCTGAGGCAGAGCATTTTTTCACAAACCTCTTAGCCATTTCCACGTGTTCCCTTAAGAAAAGTTTATTAAGGTCCTTTGCCCATTAAAAAAACCTTTTTTTAAACTCTTGAGTTGTTAGAGCTCCTTATGTATTTTGTATAATAACCCTTAACAGATATATGGTTTGCAAATATTTTCTCCCATTCTGTAGGTTGTCTCTTCACTCTCTTGATTGTTTCCTTGCCTATGTGGAAGCTTTTTAGTTTGATGTAATCCCAATTCTTTTTGCTTTTGTGATTGTGCTTCTGGTATTATACCCAAAAAATATTTGCTCAGACCAATGTCATGAAACTCTATATTTTCTTCTAGTATTTTTATAACCATGAGTATTCAATTTCAGCATTTAGTCAATTTTGAGTAAATTTTTAATATGGTATGAGATAGGGTCAAATTTCATTCTTCTGCATGTGGATATCCAGTTGTCCCAACACCATTTATTAAAAAGATAGATGTCCTTTCCCCATTGCATATTCTTGGCACCTTTGTTGAAAATCAATTGACCATAAATGCCTGGATCCGAGCTCCTATTTTGTTCCATTTTTCTACATGTCTATTTTATGCAAGTACCATGCTGTTTTTGATTAATATAGCTTTGTTGTACATATTGAATCAGGTAGTGTGATGCTTTCAGCTTTGATCTTTTTTCTTAAAATTGCTTTGGCTAGTTGGAGTCTTTCGTGCTTCCATACAAACTTTTAAATTGTTTTTCTATTTCTCAAAAAATGCCATTGAATTTTTTTTTTTAAGAACAAAGTTTTGCTCTTGTTGCCCAGGCTGGAGTGTAATGGAGCAATCTCAGCTCGCTACAACCTCCACCTAATGGGCTGAAGCAATTATCCTGCCTCAGCCTCCCAAGTAGCTGGGATTACAGGGATGTGCCACCATGTCTGGCTAATTTTTTGTGTGTTTAGTAGAGATAGGGTTTCACCATGTTGGTCAGGCTGGTCTTGAACTCCTGACATCAGGTGATCCACCCACCTCGGCCTCCCAAAGTGCTGGGATTACAGGCATGAGCCACCACACCTGGCTGCCATTGGAATTTTTATAGGAATTGCACTGAATCTTTAGGGGACTTTGAGTAGACTGATCATTTTAACAATATTCATTTATCCAATCCATGAACATGGGGTATCTTTCCATTTCTTTGTTCTCCAGTTTCTCTCATCAGTATCTTAGAGTTTTCAGTGTACACATTTCACCTCCTTAGTAATTTATTCTTATGTGTTTTATTGTAGTTACTGTAAATTGATTGTAAATTGGATTTTTTAATGTGTTTTTCAGAGAGTTCATTGTTAGTGTATAGAAATGCAACTGAGTTTTGTATGTTGCATTTGTATCCTGCCACTACTGAATTTGTTTATCAGTTCTAGCAGGGTTTTTTGGTGGAGTCTTTAGGATTTTCTATATATAAGATCAGGTCATCTGCAAATAAGGACAATTTAACTTCTTCCTTTCCAATTTGAATGCCTTTTATTTATTTTGCCTGCCTAATTATTCTGGCTAGGACTTGCAGTGACATGTTGAATAGAAATGATAATGGGCAATCTGTATTAGTTCATTCTCATACTGCTAATAAAGACATATGCAAGACTGGATAATTTATAAAGGAAAGAGGTTTAATTGACTCACAGTTCAGCATGGCTTTAGAGGCCTCAGGAAACTTACAATCATAGCAGAAAAGGGGGAGCAAACAAGTCCTTCTTTACGTGGCAGCAGCAAGGAGAAGTGCAGTGCAAAGGGGGCCAAGTTCCTTAAAAACCATCAAATCTTGTGAGAACTCACTGTTGCAAGAACAGCATGGAGATAACTGCCCCCATGACTCAATTACCTCCCACTAAGTCCCTCCCATGACATGTGGAGGCTATGCGAACTACAATTCAAGATAAGATTTGGATGGGGACACATCCAACCATGTCAGCATCCTACTCTTGTTTCTAACCTTAGAAGGAAATCTTTCAGCTTTTTGACATTAAGTTTGGTATTAGCTGTGGGCTTGTCATGTATGGCCACTACTGTACTGAGATACATTTGTTCTATATCTATTTTGCTGAGCGTTTTTATCATTAAAAAATGTGGAATTTTGTCAAATGCTTTTTCTACATATATTGAGATGATCATATGATTTTTGTCCTTCATTCTATTAATGTGTATGACCTTTTTAGATGTGTGTATGTTGATCCATCCTTGCATTCCAATGATAAATCTTATTTGATCATGGTGTTTAATGTGCTGTTGAATTTGATTTGATAGTATTTTGTTGAGGATTTTTCATATATGTTTATCAAGGATAGTGACCTATAGTTTTCTTTTCTTGTAGCGTTCGTGTCTAGCTTTGGCATCAGGGTAATGCTGGCATCATAAAATAAGTTTGGAAGTAGTCCCTCTTACTCAATTTTTAAGAAAAGTTTGAAAAGGATTGCTATTTGTTCTTCAAATGTTTGGTAAAATTCAACAGTGAAACCGTCTGGTCCTGGGCTTTCGTTTGGTGGGTGGGATTTGATTACAGTTTAAATCTTACTCATTATTAGTCTGTTCATATTTTTTCTATTTCTTTGTTATTCAGTCTTGGCAGGTTGCATGTGTTTAGGAATGTATCCATTTCTTATAGGTTATCCAATTTGTTGCCATTAAGTTGTTTATAGTAGTGTCTTATGATTATTTGTATATATGTGGTATGAGAGAGGTAGTGTCTCCTCTTTCATTTCTGATTTTATTCATTTGAGTGTTTTCTCTTTTTTCTTAGTCTAGTTAACACTTCATCAATTTTGTTTATTTTTCAAAAAACCAACACTTTGTTTTGTTGATCTTATATTTTTTCTAGTTTTAAATTCATTTATTTCTAATCTGATATGTATTGTTCCCTTCTTTCTACTAATTTTTGCCTTCGTTTTTCTTCTTTGTCTAGTTTCTTGGGGTGTAACTTTAGGTTGTTTGATATCTTTCTTCTTTCTTGATGTATTCTTGTGTTTATTGCAATAAACTTCCCCTCTTAGAACTGCTTTTGCTTTATCTCATAAGTTTTGATATGTTACATTTCTATCTTTATTTGTCCCAAGGGTTAAAAATTTTTCATATTAAGTTAATTAATGAATAAATTAATAGGAAAATTTTTTAACCTATTGGTTGTTCGAGGGTGTACTTAATTTCCATGTATTTGCAAACTTTTCAAAATTCCTTATTACTGATTTCTAATTTCATATCACTGTGATCAGAAAATATATCTGATGTAATTTGAGCCTTCTTGATTTTGTTAAAAATTGTTTTGTAGTCTAACATATGATGTATCCTGGAGAGTGTCCCAGGTTCAACTGAAAAGAATGGTATTTTTCTGCTGGTAGATCAAATATTCTATATATGCCTTTAGATCCACTTGGTCTAAACTATAGTTTAAGCTTGATGTGTTCTTATTGATTTTCTGTCCATGGCTGAAGGTAGGGTGTGGAAGTCCCCTAGTATTATTGTATTAGTCTCTCATTGCTTCACATCTGTTAATTTTTTTTTTATATTTCATTGCTCAAATATTAAGTGCATATGTTTACAATTGTTATATCATCTCGATGAATTGACTCCATCATTTCATAATGACTTTCTCTTTTTCTTTCTTTCTTTTTGTTTCTTTTGTTTTTGTTTTGGAAATAGGGTCTTGCTCTGTCACCCAGACTGGAGTGCATGAGTGTAATCATGGCTCACTGCAGCCTCAACCTCTTGGGCTCAGGCAATTCCCCCAAGTAGCTGAGGTGACAGGCATGTACCACCAAATCTGACTAATTTATTGTTGTTGTTATTTGTGAAGACAGGATTGCCCTGTGTTGCCCAGGCAGGTCTCAAACTCCTGGGCTCAAGCAACAATTTCACTGATATAAGCCACCATGCTTGGTTTTGTCATGACCTTTCTTTGCCTTGTTTTATATTATTTGATTCAAACTGTATCTCATCTGATGTAAGTAGAGCTGTGTCTTCTCTCTTTCATTTCCATTTGCATAAAATATCTTTTTCTATCTTTTCACTTTCAGTCTGTGTCTCCTTAAAAGTGAAGTGAGTGTTTTATAGTTTGCATATACTTGGGTCATGTTTTTTAAATTCATTCTGCCATTCTGTGTCTTTTGATTGGAGAATTTAATCTATTTACACTTAATATAATTATTGATAAGTGAGTACTTTCTACAACCATTTTATTTATTGTTTTCTGGTTGTCTACAAAGTCTTTATTCCTTTCTCTCTTACTGTCTTCCTTTGTGACTAAGTGATTTTCTCTAGTGAAATACTTTTATTCCTATTTATCTTTCGTGTATTCACTGTAACTTTTTGCTTTGTGGTTAACATGAAGTTCACATAAAACATCTTATAGTTGTAACAGGCTATTTTAAGCTGATAATTTTGATTGCATACAAAAACTGCACTTTACTCTCTTATTTAAAATGTTTGATGTCATAATTTACATCTTTTTTATATAGTGTATACCTTAACAAATTATTGTAGCTACTTTTAAAAAAAAAAAAGTCTTTTAACCTTTGTACTAGCTGTAGAAGTGATTTACACACCACCATTACAGTATTAGAGTATTCTATATTTTGATCATACATTTACTTTACCAGTGAGTTTTATACTGTCTTATATTTTCATATTATTAGTTAGCATTTATCTCTTTCAGCTTTAGCATTCCTTGTAAACAGTTCTGGTGGTAATGAACCTTTTCATCTTTTGTTTTCCTGGGAGACTCTTTCTCTCTCCTTTATTTCTGAAAGATAGCTTTGCTATGAAAAGTATTCTTGGTTGGCAGTTTTTTTTCCCCCTTTGACACTTTGAATATTTCATCTCATTCTCTCCTTATCTGTGAAAGAGGTTTCTACTAAAAAGTTCACTGCTATTCTTATTAAATCTCCCTCATATGTTTCTTGCTTCTTTTCTTTTATCACCTTCAGGATACTCTCTTTGTCCTTAAATCTTGACAGCTTGATTATGGTATGTTTTGGTGTAGTCTTATTTGGATTGAATCTGATTGGAGACCATTGACCTTCCTGCTCCTGGAAATTTTATGTCTTTCACCAGATTGGCAAAGTTTTGTACTATTATCTTTTTAAATTAACTCTCTACCTTTGTCTTTCTCTTGTCTTTTATGAAGTCCTATGATTCAAATATTTGCTTTTTAGATGTGTTTCATAAATCCTATAAGCTTTCTTCATAACTTATTGTTTTTTCTTTTTCTTCTCTAACTGTATTCCAAATAACCTGTCTTTGAATTGAGATTCTTTCTTCTGCATGATCAGTTCTGCTGTTGATGCTCTCTGATGCCTTTTTAAATTTTATTCATTGCATTTTTCAGGTCCAGAATTTCTGTTTCATTTTTTAAATAATTTCAATATCTCTGTTAAACTTCTCATTTTGGTCATTTATTGTCTTCCTGATTTTAGTGAATTATTTCTTTGTATTTTGTTGAGGTTTCCTGAGATTCCTTAAAACAATTATTTTGAATTCTGTGTGAGGCAGTTTGTTATCTCCATTGCTTTGGGGTCTGCTATGGGGAGATTATTGTGTTCTTTTAGTCATGTTATGTTTCTTTGGTTTTTATATTTCTTGTTGCCTTACATTTGCTCTGTGCATTTGAGAAAGTAGGGACTTACCAAGTCTTTGCAGATGCAAGGGCAGGCCTGCTGCTGGAGTCCTCAAACAGGCTAGTCTGGTGCCTATGGCAACCAGTGGGCAGGTCTGTTCTGGGGGTGACCTTGAGCCAGAATCTGCAGGGCTCTACACCAGCAGTGGTGCAGGCTTCTTCAGGTACTTGAGTGGGCCTGAAGCCCAGTGCTATTGAAGCCAGCTTGCTGCTGGGATGGACCTAAAGCCTGGTGCCACTGAGTCCAGTTTGGTACTTAATCTGGTCCAGATCATGGGTTACAGAGTCTGAAATAGTGCTTTAGCAGGCTGGAGACTGAGTTTGCAGGGTTGGCCTGAATCCTGGGGCTGCAGGATTTAGGTTGGGATCACAGTGAGCTTGGAGGTTCACACCATGGGTATTGGCTGGAGTCTGGGGCCTTGGGAGCCTGCCTGGCACTGGGTTTCACTGAAGATGGTTCTATGGTTTAGGTCCAAGGCAAAGTCTGGTGCTCACTTCCTTCTCCTTTCCCCAAGCATATGGTATCTCTCTCAACGCTGTGCTTCCTGGAGTTGGGGAAAGGATGACATGTGAAACTTTTCTTCCTGCCCTTTTCAATGTGCTGTTTCTTATTTCTGTGCTGCACCCAGGTGCTGTGGTCTTTCACCTGGTTTCCTCAGCTCTTGCAAAGGTATTTTCATGCATAGGCAATTGTTCACATTAGTATTTCTGCGGGGGAAGGAGGGTTGGAGGGTCCTATTCTGACATCTTGCTCTGCTCCTCCCCAAATTTCTAATTATATTTTTATTTTTCTATAAGCCCAAAACTTTCATTTTGTTAGCCACTTCAGTCAATATCAACTTTAAAATATCTCTAATTTGTCCATTTCTCTTCATCCCCAGGGCTAACACCCTAATCCAGATCCCTGTCACTCTCACTAAAACTAGAGAAACAGTCTCCTGTCTGGCCTCCAGTCTTGCTCCTCTCAACTTCAGCTGAGTGGACTTTTCCAAAATAGAAACCAGTTGATATGACTTTCCTGTTTGAAACTCAGTGCCTTCACGTGGCCCTTAGCAGTAGGTCAATACTGCTTGGAGTGGTGAATTAAAGGATGCCCACCATGCAGCTGCATGCTTCCCATCACCCACCTCTTACCCCTTCATGCCACATTCCCACCACACCAAATTCCTTTACTTACTGGAATTTGGAAATCTCTCTTTTTATTTTCATCTCTGTCTTTCCTTTTGCTCAATGACAGAGTCAAGCAAAAGGAAAAACAAGGAGGTGGGGTGAAGGTCTATCCACACTGCTTTTGGGAAAACAGTTTGGGATAATCTTCCAAAGTTGAAAATGCACATGCCCTATAACTCAACAATTACATTCCTCAGCAGAAACCAACAGAAGTGTGTGTTATGTTCACCAAAACACATAGAAAAGAAAGCTCAGGGCAGCATTATTCATAGAAGCCAAACGTTTGAAATTGTACAAATGAATAAATACTTCATGGCTTAATTCTGTAATGGAATACTATATAGCAGTGAAAATAATTATACAAAAATGAATGCAGACGACTTTCACAAGCATGTTGAGTAAAATATACATATAATTTGGGTGGAGCTGGCTTCTTTGGGGATATATATATATATATATATATATATATATATTGAGAGAGGGGGAGAGAGGGGGGAGAGAGGGAAAGAGCAAGAGAAAAGAGAAGATGATTCTATTTATATAAATTACACGAGAGGCAAAATTAATCTAGCTATTGGAAGCCTAGCTGGTAGCTGGCTTTGAGCAAGTCAGTGGAAACAGTGGGAAGTATCATTCGGAGGCTTCTGGGGTATTTCTTGATCAAAGTGATTTACTTCCTTTGTGATCATTCAAAACTCACTTTTATTCATGTGTCTTATATGACAATTATAATTTTCACTTTTTTAAAAAAGCAAAATGTTAGCCATCAAAGGATGAGAAGAGTAGGGAAAGGGAAAGCTAAAAAACAAAACAGAGCCAAGAGTGGCACAAAGGAAGGAACAGAGTTGACCAAAAACAAAAACAAAAAAAACCAGGGAGGTGGGGTGAAAGCCTATCCCCAGCAGTGAAATTGCAGAGAGGGAGTTATTAATGATAGTGAAGGAGGTCCACGGGAGAGACAAATGAAAATTCTTCATTTGTTACAATTTGGTCCAGGGTCACAGCTACTCAACCACGGAGTCCAAATTAATTCCTGTTCTGTGCGACTGGTGGATATAAAGAAGGAAAAGCCGTTTTTTAATTCAAAAGTTGAGCGCCAAGCCAAAGCAAGGACTGATCATAACCAGGTGTCTGACATAATAGGTAAGGCCAACTGGGAGAATTTGTAACTGTGAGTCACAGGTTACCAGGTAAGGGGCTTGGGGATTTCATCAGGGCTCATCGGGGCAATGCAGTTAGCCTGGGATGGGGCGCTAAGGGAAAGAGGCTGGCACCTGATGCAGTGAGTCTTCAGCTTGACAGAAGAAAGTCCTTAGCAGTCGGGAAAATGCCAGAAGTCAGAAATGGAGGTATTAAGTAAGAATGTCAGAGAGGCTATTTCTGAAGTCAGAGAGGGGTGCACCTGGTGACTCATACCTGTAATCCCAGAACTTTGGGAGGCTAAGACAGGCGGATCGCTTGAGTCCAGGAGTTCGAGAGCAGCCTAGGCAACACGGTGAAACCCCATGTCTGCAAAAAACATAAAAATTAGCCAGGCAAGGTGGCTTATGCCTATAGTCCCAGCAACTTGGGAAGCTGAGGCAGGAGCATTGTTTGAGCCCAGCATGCAGAAGGTGCGGTGAGCCAAGACTGTGCAACTGCACTCCAGCTCAGCGACAGAGCAAGACTCTATCTCAAAATATAAGGAAAAATATAAATAAAAATAAAGTAAGAAAGGAAGGCATGGGAGAGGAGCTTTTAAAAAAAAGAAGAAGATCAAGGAGTCAAAATATTCACAAGAGGAGATGTGAGGAGAAACACACCAAGACAAAGAGGTATAAAGAGACACCATCACCAGAAACAGAGGCAGAAGCAGGGGAGATGGCACAACAGAGGAAAGATGAGAAATAAAATAAGAGTGATAGAAAAAAGTAGAATGAGGGTTGGGATAAGAAGAGTGTCAGTGGGTGGGCACAACTGCCTTGTGTGTCAATTTTATCAGCTTTTGGTTAAGAACCTAGAACAAACTGCAGGTGGCATACATTCGAGGAGCAGTCCAGGGTCTTGAGTTAACTTAGCTTCCCAGCTCTTCCTACTGCTCTTATTGTGGACATTTCTGGGGCATGGACTCCTTGGTCACACCCTGAGGCTCTTAATGGGTTTTGCTCCTTTGCACAGTCATCAGCAGTGAGGACTCTGAAGGATCCAGTGACGTTGATGAGCCCGTAGAAGTCTGCATCTCAGCACTGAAAAGTGAGCCTGGTAAGGAAAGTTGGGAGAGCAAGGCTTGGGCTGTGAGAATCTGATTTAAGAGCTACTCTTTCCTCATGCATTTTATTCTGAGCACATTCTATAGGCTGGGTCCAGTTTACCCTGAGATCCCATTCTTTGCATTAATTTTACTTAACCTTTTTGGAAAATGCAGGGAGACAAGAAATTGTTATAAACGTATTTTTGAGAATTAGCCTTCTTTCTTGATGGATTCTATTAATCAATTTGCATACCCATAAATTGATTGTATAGCAGGAATAGGTTAACCAAATGATGAGTTTATTTTTAAAAACAACTAGTTGTTATGGCTATATAGTGTAGATTTATACTGTGACCTTTATAGAGAACAGAAAGTTAAATAATCCTTTATAGGAACATCTTATTGTCATCTGATCACAAAGTTTGGATAGGGTCAAAAGACATTTAATCCAACTATCTGGGGTTGGCAAAAATAAACTCTTGAGATAAAGTATTCTGAAACCTGAAGCATTGTTTCTGATAGAGTTCTTCAGTAAGTCATGGCACATTTAGTAATCTTTCAAAAGATTTTTGCAAATTGTCTTATTTTTAAATTTACAATAACCTTAAAAGGGTAAACAGAATAGAGATTGTCATCCTTATTTCCTAGATGAGAAAACACAATTACATAAATGTTTCAAAGTCATTTCCAAAATCTCATGGTAAATTAAAGGAAAGATAAGACTAGCATCCTGGATTCTAAGTTACTTCCTTTGTGAAATGAAAGAGAGAAGCATCATCAAAATCTTCTATTATCTCAATTATATTTGCAGCATAAGATTTATAACTTTTTAGTGTGCAAATTGATTGATTTGTTTTTCCCTTTACTTTCTAGATCCAGAGGATATTAGAAACATGCCACTTTAGGGGAAATACACTAGGGAAAGACCTAAGAATAAAGAAAAATATTACCTCATCTTGATGTTATAACAATATGTTGAATAATACATTCATTCTAATTTCTCACTGTATCTTTCAAAGTAAAATGTAAATTTGCCTTAGTGTTTAGACAGGATGTACCCTAACTTTGATCTTGGTGTAAGCAAACTGCTCTAAAAGATAGTCCCAAAATATGTATTTGGCTCAAACACAAAGGAAGATTATTTCTCAGCCTTGTAAACAATTTGGGAAGGCACTGGGTTGGTAGGAGGTAGAGGAGGCTCACATCTTTAACTGAAGATCTTCAAGGTTTCCCTGCATGAAAAATAGAGGCAGAAACAAAGGAAATGTGGAATGGCAAGTAGAAGGGATGAGAAGTAAAATAAGTATGAAAGCAAAGGCCATGCAAACCAAAGTTTCCCTCTGGGGACAAGAACGGAGTATCACTAACCCACAACGCAGGTAACTTGAAAGGAAAGACAAGCGTGGCCTAGGACAGGTGAGGACTTGCATGGATTTTCAAGGTTTTCTAACTAGGGAATTTCCTACTGAGCTGATTCCTTGGTTACACACTAAGACCTCTAAAGAATCCTATTCTTTTGTGCAGTGGTCAATAATGACAACCCTTTAGAAGCAAGTGAGGAAGAGGAGGACCAACAAGCCACTTGCTCACGACCTCAGATTGTATCAGGTAAGAATATTAGAATTGCAACCTGAGAAAACATTACCGCATCTTGATGTTATAAAACATTGCCTCATCTTGATGTTATAAAACATTGCTGCATCTTGAGTACACATCCAGAGTACAAATCCAGAGCTCTGTTTCCTTGATTAATTTTATTCTGAGCAGTCTCCATATGCCTTGATTCTATAAATTCTAGAATACCATTTTCTACATTTAACCTCTCTGGCCCTATTGAGAAATGGAAGACACAAGGAAGGTCACATGAACTCTTGTTTAATTGGATTGGATCAATTGATTGATATATTGAAAATATAGCTATAATATGCTAGTAAAGTAACAGTCTTTTTACACACAAACTATCATATCTATTAATGCTAAAGAGTTGAAATAATGTACTTATTCTCTACTACCACCCTTTATATTTGATAGAGCATGATAAGCACAATCTTTCTTTATTCTTTGATAATACTGTCTTAATTACAAGCTTAGAAAGTATTCAAAGAGTAATTTGTGATGCGATTTCATTATTGATGGGCAAAAAAAGTGACTTCAGCTATACCCATATTCAAATTATAGTTTACTCATTGGCTTACATCGGGATTTTTCACAGGGCTTTTGTAAATGAAGCTTCATTTTCCCATCACAAAAATTTTGACAGGGAGATAGGATAACTAGAAAATGGGAGCTAGTGACGTTTAAGAGTCATTTACCACTAGGTGCAGTGGCTCACACCTGTAATCCCAGCACTTTGAGAGGCTGAGACAGGTGGATTGCTTGAGCTCAGGAGTTCAAGACCAGCCTGGGCAACATGGAGAAACTCCATCTCTACCAAAAATACAAAAATTAGCTGGGCATGGTGGTGTGCACCTGTGATCCAGCTACTTGGGAGGCTAAGGTGAGAGAGTCACTGGAGCCTGGGAAGTCGAGGCTGCAGTGAGTTATGACTGTGCCACTGCACTCTAACCTGGGTGACAGAGTGAGACCTTGTCTAGAAAATAAATAAATAAATATAAAAGAATGAGGTCATGTCTTTTGAGAGAACATAAATGGAGCTGAAGGCTATTATCCTTAGCCAACTAACACAGGAACAGAAAACCAAATACCACATGTTCTCACCTGTAAGTGGGAGCTAAACGATAATAACTTATGAACACAAAAAAAGGAAGCAGAAGACACTGGGGTCTATTTGAGGGTGGAGGGTGGGAGGAGAAAGAGGAGCAGAAAAGATAACAATTGAGTACTGGGCTTAATACCTGGGTGATGAAATCATCTGTACAACAAGCTCCTGTGACATACATTTGCCCATGTGACAAACCTTCACATGTACCCCTAAACCTAAAATAAAAGTTGAAAAAAAGAATTAAAAAGAGGCATTTGCAATTAATACACACAGAAGATTATAGGGAGAGCTGGGCAGAATCCCAGCATTATGACCCCAAACCCCCAGAGCTAGATTCACTAGAAGGAGAGAGAAAAACGCTCATCAAAACTTCATCATTAACCCAAGCCCATTTGCCATGTCAGACTTATAGAATTTATAAGTCTCTTGTATACAAATAACGGGTTTCTCTCTATTATTTTTTTACAGACCCCATGGATTTCAGAAAATCATCTATATTCAGAGAAAGCTCTAGGAAAAGAGGTAAGAGAAAATAACAACTCTCCATGGTTAGAAATGAACAATATTTTCTACAAAAGAGTCGGTCTAATTCCTTGCTATATCCTTCAGAATAGAATACAAATTTGCTTTAAATTTCAGTGGTTCCTATTTTAGCTTTTGTATTAGTTAGGTTGACTAATTGCTGTAAACCCAAAGAAGTCAATGACTCCAACACAATAGAAGGTTTTTTATTTTTGTACTAGAAGTTTATCTTTTTTTAACTGAATATTTCAAGGATTTTTAGATGGGAGAGAGGTTGCACTCTGCTTCAAGCAGTTCTTCAGGAAAACAGGCAAGTAGAAGACCTGCCTTCTTCAATCCCAGACTTCCATGGTTGTCCTGAGAGAGAAGCAAATTTGTAAATAAATGCAAATCCATATACAAAAACTACAACAAATCCATAAAGAGACAAGTAAACAAAGAAAGATAACATGGTGTAAGATGACAGAGGGCCAAGACAAAGCAGAGATGCCCAGTGGGGCTAAAAGTTTCTCAGCCTCAAGCTCAAGTGGCAGTGAGGGATAAAATACTAACCTTGAGCCACACAAATTTGAATCAAAAGATGAATGATGGAGGTCTGAAGGCATGGACATTCTTGCCCTGAAGTTTCAGAGCATCGCAAATTTTTCCTAGTTTCCTTTTCATGGAATATTCTTCTGTCTTGGCTCCTTTGTCGTATATTGAGACCTCCAAAGGACATTTGCTCCTTTCTGCAGTGATAGGACAAGACCATGACTCTTCAGAATCCAGTGAGGAGGAGGAAATTCCAAAAGTCTTAATCAGGGCACTGCACGGCAAGAAGGGTAAGAACAGCCCCCTTGATTTCAGGGCTCTGATTTCAGAGCGCCTCTTCCCTGGTGCACTGTGCTCTGAGCACAGACAACAGCTATGGTCTTGTTAAGACCAGGAGTCAGTTCTCTGCATCTATTTCATCTGGCCATTTTGAAAAATGCAAAGAAAGAAGTCTGCATTTGGACTATAAATTCAGGCTTAACAAGATGGTTGTGGTTGAGTGGCAGTGCCCTGTTTACTACATACTGCTATATGCTAGTCCATTTTCATGTTGCTGATAAAGATAAGCCTGAGACTGGGTAATTTACAAAAGAAAGAGGTTTAATGGACTTATAGTTCCACATGTTTGGGGAGTCTTCACTATCATGACAGAAGGTGAAAGGCACATCTCTCTTGGCAGCAGACAAGAGAAGACAGCTTGTGCTGGGAAACTCACCCTTATATAATAGTTCACATGTCATGAGACATATTCACAAGAACAGCACAGGAAAGACCTGCCCCTGTGATTCAATTACCTCCCACCGGGGACCTCCCACAATACATGAGAATTCCAGATAAGATTTGGGTGGGGACACAGCTAAACCATATCATTGCCAGACCTAACTCCAATGTGTTGGATTTATTGTATCAATTTCTACTCCTTCCCATTCCTTATTTTGTAGAGAAGAGAATGTACAGTAGTCTGTTATTGCTTGACTTTGTCACAAACTTGTTCAAAATTCCAAAGCCTTTGGTCATACTCTCTAGTTATTGACAGAAAGAAAGGCTCCTAGTTCTTACCATCAAATTCAATTCATAGCTTTTGACAGATGGCCCCCAACATGATATTGGCCAAATAGTGATATTTTAAAATATATTTGAAAATAAGATCTTCTTGCATCTTTACAATAATATAAAAGGTGGGCAAAATAACTATTGTTCCCCCCATTTCACAGATGGGGAAACTCGGGCACACTAAACGATCCTTTTTCTTTGCACGTCACATATGGAAAGTTATAGGAAGAGACAAGACTAGCAGCCTGAATTCTTCATAAATGTTCATAATCCTCTATAAAACCTTCAAAGCCAGATGTACTTCAAAGTTCAAAAAATATTTTATTATTTTAGAAAGGCAATGTAGTTTATATTCTACATATAACAAAATACCCTACTAGGATCCAAGGCAGAGTCCTATTCTCAAATATACTAATGTTTCTGCTGCAAATTATATAAATATTCACACCAAATATAATAGGATTTTACATGAACTCATGGCAACTCAAGTCCAGATTCCCTGCCAAATTAGCTGCAAATCTATAAAAACAATATTGGTTATCAAAATTTCTTTGAGGCCAGGTGCAGTGGCCCATGCCTGTAATCCCAACACTTTGGGAGGGTGAGGCATGTGGATCTTTTGAGCCCAGGAGTTCAAGACCAGTCTAGTAAATGTGCCAAAACTCCATTTCTACAAAAAATTAGCTAGATGTGGTGGTGTGTGCCTGTAGTCCCAATGACTTGAGAGGCTGAAGTGGAAGGATCATTTGAGTCTGGAAGGTTGAGACTGCAGTGAACTGAGATTGCACCACTGCCCTCCAGTTTGGCTGACAGAGTGAGACCCTGTCTCAAAAAAAAAAAAAAAAAGTCTTTGATTTTGCAATTAGGCCTAAAGGATTGTGGGTCTATGCTCCATTTGATAGTAATCCCTTTCCCATTAGTGGGAGGAGACGGAAATGATCCTTGTGGAATATATATAGTCCAAATTCTGTCAACAGTGTAAGTAGTCATAAGATTTATAGATCTTTTAGTTAGACATTATTGGTTTGGTTTTCCTTTCTAGATCCTATGACTTCTGGAAGTACATCTACTTGGAGAATATACAACAAGAAGAGACGTAAGAGCAATTAAAAACTCTCAATGTAACAAATGCCTTTCTTTGCTACAAAAGCTATGTTCCCTTTTTTTTCATAGCCTTTAAAACAAAAAATTTAATTTTGGGGGATTTTAGATGCTTTGCATTTTACATTTTCAATTAGATGAATTGGGCTGGTATAAAACATAAGCCTCAAAATGTTCAAAGGCACAAGTGCAACACAAGTTTATTTTTCACTCACATAAATAGGATAAAGTAGTTCCTGAGTGGAAGGGGTGCCCACACAGTCATTTAAGGCTCAGCTGATGGAGGCTCTGACATCCTTAAGATGTTGCTTCCATGGTTCCCTTGGATAAGATACTGAGATGGAAGCAGAAGTATGTACAAACAAATGAAAGGGTAAGAAATGTAAGAAACAACGTCGTCCCCAGCGCCAGCCTCAGAGATGGCTGCTGGAGCAATCTTGACCAGCAGGTCAGATGATCAAAGCCAAAGGGTGGCCTAGTGGTAGGAGCTTGTCCTTGTCCTACCTGTCTAAGTGGACAAACTCCTACACAAGCTTCTCTTGTCCAGTTTTTCTTTTAAAGAATTCCCTGCTGGTTCCGAAGACTCAGACTAAGACTGTTAAGGAATTTTTTTTTTTCTGCAGGTTTCAGCAGCACTGACTTTTCAGAGCTGAGTAATGGAGAAGAGCCCCAGGAAACCTGCAGCTCACCCCTAAGAAGTGGGTCAGGTAAAGAAGATTAGGATACCAAGACTTGGCCTGCAGAATGTCAGGAATCTGAATTAAAACCTACTGTTTCCAGACCCTTTTTATTCTGAGCACCTTGACTGCCTTGTATCCAGTTCATCTGGGAGCTTTTTGCATTTTAGAAAATGGAAGGAGGCAGGAAATTATGATAAACTCATGTTTAACAGAATGAGTCTCACTGACTAAATGTATGTAATTATATATTGCTGTTGTAGAAGAAATAAATAGCAAACTTGTGGTATCTTTTTTTAAAACCTGCTCTCATTCCTATTAACACTAAAATCTTAGGTTTTTATAGTCATAAATGGGTTGACATCAATGTCATTTGTAATTGTAAAGCCACTAAAGACAACTACTCCTACTATGTAATTATAGACAGAAATAAAAACTTCAGATCAAACACTCTCAAACTTTAGTATAGTTTTTGACAGATGTCCTTCATCATGTAATTGGATTATATTGTGTTATTTCAATATATTTTGGCAAATAAGATCTTATTTTGTCATCACAAAATTTTTAAGACATAGGCAGACTCTTACTATACCCATTTTGGGGTGAGGGAAATAGATGTACAGATGTCATCACAAAATGTTTAAGACATAGTCAGGCTAACTCTCACTATACCCATTTTGGGGTGAGGAAATAAATGGACAGAAGTATTAGGGCCAAAAAACTTAAGAACAATAGAGACTAGCAAGCCAGGTGTCTCATATGGTTGACTTTTGTATGTAACAGACAGAAAGATAATAGCTGTATCATTTAAGTCAAAGTCCAGAGAAGATGCACAAGGAACTCAGATATTCACAGGAGACTATACCAGTGCCTGATGCAAGAAAGGTTATTTAACAACAAATGTGTGTGTGTGTATGTGTGTGTACACATGCATATATTTATTACATATAACATATGAGTGTGTGCGTGTATGTAGAGGTTAATACATATACATCTTTATGGAGGAAAAAATAAAAATCACAGAAACAGAGAGGATAGGAATGGAACCAGCTATGTAATATACAAAACACCTATAAAGATAGAAGCAAAGTGGATAAACATAGAAATAGAGGAGAATAGAACATCATTGATGAAAATAGAAAAAGCAACACAGGAGACAAGAAAAAATCAGAGATGAGCTTACAGAATCAAAGAGATAGAGACAAAAATGTATAGCCGCAGGGCAATGGGCAGAAAATAAGAAATCAAGAGGAGAATCAGATGTGGCCAGAAAGAGTCGGGCTATGAGGTGTACTCATTGATGTAGGTATATTTTTTTGTCAGTTCATCTAACCTCTGAAGATAGCTCAGCATGAGCACATTGAGACAGGTTCCCTGGTTTCCTGTTCACTGTTGATAGTCTGTTATTTCCTTGTTTGTCTTCATTGTCCTGTGAATTCAAAGCTCCTCCAATAAATAAACAAAGAGAGTCAGAAGAGATACAGCCCATTAGCTTGTGATGGAGAGGCAAATTATGATGTTAATTATCAATTATCTCTGTTTTCCCACTTGTGTGGAGGAAAAGTTGTTTCTTCTTTACCTTACCTCTCCTCCAAAACATATGCACACACACATACACACCACACACACAGAGAATTGTGCACAGACTGGGTTTGAGGGAGCCAAAAGAAAAAGAAGAGCTTGGCTCCTGAATAGAAGGAGGAGACACTGAGCGGATAAAGTAAGGAAAAAAGTGGAGAAAGGTAGGCTGGAGTCACCAAATGAAAAGACATAAGAGCCAGCTTCAAATTTTTCTAAGTGGACAAGGAATCCAAATATTCCAGGTCAGGGAGTTCTGTGGGGGAAGAGGGATAATTTTCAAAATACTTCTCAGAAATTGTACCAGAAACGTGAAAATAAAATTTGTGATTATTTGACAGCCCTGCAAGGTAGAAAGCTCATAGGGAACAGACCACATAGAGATGGCTATGTGGTCAGTGTCCCAAGAGCAGGCATTTGGTGATAAGGTAATAATCTGAGATAAAGATGAATACAGATAAAGAAAATGTGGATAAAGACAAAGATTGAAATTGTGAAAACAGTCAAACGATCAAGATAAGATTCAGAGAAACAAAGCTAGAAGAGAGAACAGAAGGGGTAAGTGACAGTAGAAAGAATTTCACTTCAATAATAAAACTAGATCTAGAGACGTAAACAGGAAAACTGGTGGAATGAGACACACAGAAAGGGTGATAAAATGGAGTGGTGTAAAAAATGTGGTACAATGTCAAGTATGTAGATAAAGAATTAAAACATGAGAGAAAATGGAGGTGAGAAGAGGGAAGTATAAAAGGGAGAGAAGAAAATGATGGAGAAACTGTGGGATCTGAAATGACCACGAGTTAAAAGAAACCTTAGCACAAGATATGATTCATAATAGCAGTAAGCTTTCAGAGTAAGTTATCCCCTGGCCCCTCTGACTCACCCAGATTACAAAAGGCCTCACCCAGGCATTTCATCCACTCCTATAATTTCAGCCACCACCCACAACCTCATGATTCCTACATTGTGTATCTCCAGCCAGCCCTCTCCTCTAAACTCATTCATCCAAGTGTCAGAAGGCTCCTGTCCGAGGTCCTGAAGACCTTAGATTTCACCACTCAGTATCTTCAAACTTCAGTCTCAACACCTCCAACACTAGGCACATCATCTTTTTCCCTAAAACCAGCCTTTGCTCCTCCAGTGTTCTCCATCACTGAAACATATGATTAATTGGCCCTTTATTTCAAGATGAAATTCTCAGGGTTATTCATGAACAGGAGGGACAAATACAGTGAGGAACAACAAAAGAAAAAGGTTTCAGAGGTAGCGCCCATCCCTTAATTTAGCTGTGGGGAGTGGGTAATCACTAACATTGAGGGAAAGGAGAATCTCAGGAGGAGAGTAAGCACAAATAAAAATTTTTACAAATCACAATTTAGGATCAGAGCTACAAGAACCTGAAAATGAGAAGTGCCCCTGTGTCATGTGTTTTCCAAAAGGTGTGCCAAGAAGCCAAGAAGCAAGGCCTGAAAGTAGCCAAGCATCTGGCATGATGGGTAAGGCTGCCCTAGGGTCTGGGGATGGAAGTGGCTCAGTCGATTTCACAGACACTGGGTAGGGATGTGGGAAGTGATCAGAGTTGAAGCGGAGCATCAAGCAGCCTCTGGATCACCAACAGGAAGTAGGATCACAGGCCTCAAGCCTCAGAATTTCAAAAGTCTGAAATCATAGCCTTCCTTTCCTGCTGCACTTGACTGTGAGCAGATTGTGACAAAGAACAGGTTCAGTCCATGCCAGAATCCTGTTCTCTGCATTTGCCTAACCTGACCCTTTTGGGAACTGCTGGGAGGCAAGAGATCATTATAAACTCTTGTTTAACAGAATGAGCTCTCTTAGGTAGTAAAAAACACTGGGAAAAACAGCAGTATCTCACTTGCTATATTAGCATATCAATGCTAAACATTGAATACATAAAGCAGGTTCCACTCTTCTTCTTGCAACAAACAAAAAAACAAAAACGCATTCTTCCACTCACAGGTAATAGTGCCACTTTGTCACAACTTTGGAAAGGCCTAAAAAGACAGATAGTCCTGCTACCTGTCAGGAAAAAGCCTCAGATACCTACTCTTAAGCTAAAAACACATAGTTTTGAAAGAGATCCTCTGGTCTGTTATTGATTTATATAGTGATTTCCTACTAACTTTTGCAAATAAGATCATATTTAATATTCATAAAAAGTTTAAAGCTGAACAGGATAACTGCTGCCATCCCTGTTTCATAAATGAGGAAACTGGTGCCTAGTTAAGTAATTAGGAGCTGTTTCAAAGTCTCAGAGAACTAGAGGAAGACCTTAGACATCAATTCAGTATCTGTTTCCTTTGGAAAGAAGACAGATAAATTATACTCAGAATATTGTTTAAACCCAAGCCTTCCATGTAGAATGAATTGTCATAAGATTTGTAAATTTTACTTATAAATTACAGTTCTCTGACCACTACCTGTCACTTTCTAGATACCATGGATGTTGAAAACAATTCTACTTTGGAAAAACACAGTGGGAAAAGAAGTAAGAACAAATTAGAATTTACTTAATTTTTATGTTACAAATGAACTATTTTTTAATGCTAAGGCTTATTATTATTTTCTTTTTTCAACTTTTATTATAGATTAAAGGGTACATGTGCAGGTTTGTTACATGGGTAAATTGTGTGATGCTGAGGCTTGGGGTCCCAAAAATCCCATCACCCAGGCAGTAAGCATAGTGCTGAACAGGTGGTTCTTCAGCCCATGCCACCCTCCGTCTCTCCCTCCCCATCTAGTGATACCCAGTGTCTCTTGTTCCCATCTTCGTATTCATGTGTATTCAATCTTTAGCTCCCACTTCTAAGTAAGAACATGCAGTATTTGGTTTTCTGTTCTTGCATTAAGTTGCTTGGGATAACGGCCTCCAGCTCCACCTATGTTGTTGCAAAGGACATGTTTTCATTCTTTCTATGGCTGCATACTGTTTCATGGTGTATATTTGTGCCACATTTTCTTTATCCAATTCACTGTTAATGGGCAACTAGGTTGATTCCATGTCTTTGCTGTTGTGAATAACACTACAAAGAACATATGAATGCATGTATCTTTTTGATAGAATCAATTATTTTCCTTTGGGTATATACTTAAAGGTAGTGGGATTGCTGAGTCAAATGGTATTTCAGTCTTTAGGTCTTTGAGGAATCACCACACTGTCTTACACAATGGTTGAACTAACTTTACACCCCCACCAATCATGTATAAGCGTTCCTTTTCCTCCACAACCTCGCCAGCATCTGTTATTTTTATTTTTTTGACTTTTTAATAATAGCCATTCTGAGTGGTGTGAGATGATATCTCACTTGTGATTTTGATTTGAATTTATCTGATGATTAGTGATGTTGGGCATTTTTTCATATGTTTGTTGACCACTTGTATGTTTTCTTTTGAGAAGTGTCTGTTCATGTCCTTTGCCCATTTTTAAATTGGATTTTTGGGTTTTTGCTTGTTGGTTTGTTTAAGTTCCTTCTAGATTCTGGTTATTAGACCTTTGTCATATGCACAGTTTGCAAAAATTTTCTCCCATTCTGAAGACTGTCTGTTTAGTCTTCTGGTAATTTCTTTTGTTGTGCAGAAGTTATTTAGTTTAATTATGTTCCACTTGACAATTTTTGTTTTAGTTGCAATTGTTTTTGGAAACTTAGCTATAAATTATTTGCCAAGGTCTATATCAGGAGGGGTATTTCCTAGATTTTATTCTAGGATTTTTATAGTTTTAGGTCTTACATTTAAATCTTTAATTCATCTTAATTTTTGCATAGGATGAGAATTATGGGTCCAGCTTCATTCTTCTTTGTATGTCCAGCCAGTTATTCCAGCATCATTTATTGAATAGATAGCCCATTTCCCGTTGTTTATTTTTGTTGATTTTGCCAGCCTTTTTCTGACTAGTTCCCAGGTTCCATATTATATTTGCAATGGTCATTTCTTCTTCAAGATTTTTAAAATATTGTTCTAAATTTGATTCTAGAAGTTTGATATAACTGATCATTTTTAATATATATATATATATATATATATATATATATATATATAATCCACATGAGATTTGCCTTTGTGTGTAAGTGAGTGGGAATTTACAAAATATTCTCTACTCTATGGCATGGTGATTTGAATCACCACTTTGATTACACAGTGCCTTTACCTGTCTATATTCTATGTTTTGTTTTTGTTTTTGTGTTTTTTGTTTTGTTTTGTTTTTTGGTTTTTTGGTTTTTTTTGTAATTGAAGGGACTACAGAAAAGAAAGAAGAGCCTCAGTGGGGGTGAATTTTAGAATTAGCTCAAGAAATCTCTTCCAACTCCTTCCCAAATCCATCAAAAGCTCTGATTAGAAATGCATTGAATTGACTGAGTGTGGTGGCTTACGCCTGTAATCCCAGCTACTCAGGAGGCTGAGGCAGGAGGATTGTTTGAACTCGGGAGGCAGAGGATACAGTGAGCCAAGACTGCACCACTGCACTCTGGCCTGGGTGACAGAACAAGACCCTGTCTCAAAAAAAAAAAAGAAAATCATTGAACTTGCAGGTTAATTTGGGAAGAACAGAGACTTTTGCTCTTTTATTCCTGTCTTATGTTCTTCCACTGAAAATGTTTTTTGTATAATTCTGGCATTTTAAAAATGTTTTATACGTTGTATACATTTATGTGTTACTATTAATATCCTTTTTCTATTACATAAAAACTGAAGTGAATTTAAATGAGATAAGGCTCTCAAAATCTTTATTTAAAAGAAGTCTATAGTCAATTTCTTACTTACATATGAGAGAATTAGAATGGCACTGAATTAATATAAAATCTTACAAGCATTTATACAGTTTAGAGATCCAGGTATCACTTAAAATATTATGGCCAGGCCCAAAAATTATGAAATAAGACAATTAATTAGAATTACATGTTTCTTTGGAAATTGGTTTCATGAGAAATGGCCATAATTTTCTATTTTGTGGGATTATCACAAGACCTCTTCCGATAGCTCTCCTAAGGACAAGTTTATGTTAGCAGAGAACAGAACAAATCAGTAATGGTTATGAAAAGACATGCTTCCATATTTTGCAAGAGAGTAAGACTGATCTTCTTTTGCAATTTCTCAATGTAATGCTTTGTCAAATCAGATTCTTTATGTTAGTGTTATGGTGCAGAATGTTCTCTCTCCTTCCACAACTATGGGTTGAAGGGCCTTTCCTTTCATCTCCTTCAGTAATTTCTTTTGTTAGTTATGAAGACTTATATTTTTAAAATCTGGCCTGTGGCATTTCATTAGTTAGCCTTACAAGAAATGTAAGCCCGTGGAGCTCAATGTTACTGGGAAAAATAAAGAAGTGCCTAAAATAAATTTCACCTAAAAATGGTAAAATAGGATGCATATAGATTTTTTTTTTTTTTTTTGAGTTGGAGTCTAGCTCTGTCACCCAGGCTGGAGTGCAGTGCTGCAATCTCAGCTCGCTGCAACTTCTGCCTCCCGGCTTCAGGCAATTCTCCTGTCTCAGCCTCCTGAGTAGCTGGGACTACAGGTACCCACGACCATCCCTGGCTAATTTTTGTATCTTTAGTAGAGATGGGGTTTCACCACATTGGTCAGGTTGATCTCAAACTCTGACCTCAGGTGATCCACTCACCTTGGCTTCCCAAAGTGCTGGGATTACAGGCGTGAGCCACCATGCCCGGCCTAGGATGCATATAGATTTTTCAACTACAGCTCTCCCATTCTCCATTCTGAATGAGCTCCAGCTCCCATATCATTTTATTTCCAGATTTCCTTTTTTGTCTTCACCTAAATACATAATGTGAAGTTAGTTCAGTATTTGGGTGAGGATGCTGATGGTGTCTTTCTTTTAACACTACATCTTGTATAACATTTTACTACTGTCTATAGGCTAATTATTATTCCCAACATCATTAAGATAGTTTCTGCATTTTATTCTCTTTTATCTCAAAATACTGATTGCTTTTCTTTATACCACTTCCATTTACCAGACTTCATCCTATGGGCCTCATCACGCTTCCCTTTTAAGTGTTCTGCTTATGTACTTCACACTCCCAACCCTCCCACAACCTTTCTTCCCTTGTAAATTAGACCACAGCTGTACTAAAGACTCAATCTTCCTTCAGGGTACCTGTTTTAGGTTGGGATGTGCAAACAGATTTCAAAACTGTCCATCACTATTGAAGTAAAATAGGAAACCAAGTGAAATGGAAGAAAGATCCAGATTTAAAGGGATTAGGGGATCCCCCAACCAAGAGTGTGAAAGGCTTCAGCACAGTAGCCAAGATTTTGAGAGACTTTGGCCAAGCCCATGCTCACAGTGGAGACGGTAGAATGTTTTTGGTTGGAGATTAATATCTCAGTCTGAAGTCACCATATCTCAGTCTATAGGACATGGCAAGACAATTCACAGTGACCCCCACTTCCACAGGATAAGGCAGTGTGCTCAGAGCCTGCAATAGTCTTTCTAGAGTATGATTTGGGCATCTTGACCAATGAAGGACAGGATTCATGGCTTACTTTCTCACTTTTTGTTAGGCCTCTCATCAAATGCTGACTTATGAAAAGTTCTTCCTGGCTTTTCTATATAAAATAACACATCCTCCTCCCACACACACTTCCAGCTCTGTTCACCACTCCCTGAAGTCTTTATTCTAGTTTACTTTTCCTGAAAACACTCTGCCGTCTTCTGTGTTTATTTCTTCACTGCTGTCTCCTTACCAGACTATAAGCTCTATGCCAGCAAGGACTTTGTTTTATTCACAACTGTATAATCAGCATCTAGGATAGTGAGCTGATTCACAATAAGTGCCCAATTAATAGTTATTGTGTGAGTAATTTACATGAATAAATTAATTCTACCAGTTTGTGAAAATTTAATTCCAAATATATGATTCTACAAAATATGTACTTAAAGCAAGCAAGTAAAAAATATTAAAAATAAAAGGATAAGTAAAGAAATGTCAATAAACTATAAATTAGAAGATCAGGGATTTTCCATTGCTTGCTCTTTGTCATAGATAATCACATGGTAATCAATATTGTCAGCTAATCCAGGTTCTCTGTGGATCTCAATTATGTGGGCAAGGCTGCTTCTAGACTATATGTTCTCAGTAAGCAGCTTGGCTTCTCCCTAGAAGAACTGTACAGATTGTCCAAGGGTGAATGTCCTGCAGCCTTCACAGATGAGGCAGGGAGTAGACAGTAAGTGTGGAGAGCAATGGTGGAAGGGGAAGTGAATCTCCTGTCAGGACCCCAAGGCCTAAGGCCTGAAAAGGTCTGTTTCCAAAAAGCTGGTTCCTCCAGTCAAAGAGATTGAGCTGGTGTGGCTTGTGTGAGCATGGCCTGCGGTGATCATCTGCTCATGGCCTTTCTGATTGGGAGTTGTTGGCTGCCCTTTGCCTCCTAACACTTGGCAGGTATTAGTATGACCATGATCAAGTGCGTGAACTGGAAGAAGGTGGTCCCCTTTGGGCAGTGTGGATGGATGCACTCTCTTCC